GGTAAAGTGGAAAGAGAAGGAATGCAATGTCTAAATTTAATATTTTATAGGTAAAGCTGTTCCAGGTTTTAAGCCACCTTAAAAAGAGTGAGTTGAGAAGAGTGAGTTCAATGCAATGGAAGTCATTGAAAAATGAGAGAAAAGAATAAAACTTCCACATTTTTGAAGGGTTTGTTTGTGCAAATGCACCCAAGTTGATGGAGAGAGGACAACTGTGACTGATTTGCCACAATCTATAGCAAAATAGCAGCTACTGGAGTTGGGTAGTTGATGATGTAGGTGTTGACAAAGTTTCTACTTAGCTCCATACTGAAACAGCTTTATGTAGAAAGATGTCTAATTAAAACAGAATTTTAAGAGAGAAAAATTACAGCCTTGTTTTCATCAGTAAAGGAAAGGTTATGTTGACTGTGATAGACATCCATTGAAACTATTATGACATAACCATTAAAAGAGATTTATGAAAAGCTTGTTGAGGTGGCTAGATGCTGTTAACTTTCTTTCCTGGCTTTTGCCTGAAATCCCAGCAGGATTCAACCATTTTGAGTTGAGAGAGTCTCCAAATCCCTTTGTTTCAAAGTTCATGAAGCTGTGTCAGTAAAACAGCATCATCACCTAGAAAAAAGCTGCCCACATAAGATCTTCACTATATCTACCACCTCTTAAACCCAGTTTTGAAAAAGGCCAACAAACTCTCAAGGTTTATAATCTAAAATTAAAATCCTTCTCTATATTGTCTGTTATCTCACCCCTAAGAATTACAAATGATAAAATAAATAAATAAATCACTTTTTCGAAGGATCAACTTCAAAGAACCTGAAGCTTTTCAAGTGTGAGACAATTTTTCTGGATTTTATGTGTCAGATTTTTTTTCTATTTTCAAGTTCATTTTTTTGGTATTTTTTTGTTTACTTTTGACTTCCTCTCCTTCTATCCCTTCTTTCCATCCTTCCTCCCTTGAAAACTATTTTTATTTGATATAACCATACCTAAGTTTGTCAGCAAAGCAATTAAACTTCAAAATAAAAGTTATATTTCCCTTTCTCTTTCCACTTTGCATTGAATAGGATCATCAGAGTAAAGAAACACAAAGTCACATCCTCTGGGCTACCTGGTGGGAAGGGCCCAATAAAAACCCTTTGAAAAGGATGTGGTTCTACCTAACTTCCCAGAGGCCAGCCAATCACTTAGCTTTCCATTTGGACCTGGTTGGAAGCAGTTTATTTTCACTCCTCCCTGACCTCAAACCAAGTATGATTAAGGCTGGGAAGGCAGAGGGCAAAGCAGAAGACAGGCCAAGAGTGCCTTGAGATGCTTTCTCTGTGGACTCATCCTCTCAGGTTCCCAGAACAAAAATGCCTCCCATAGGACTCCTTTCCTAGAGGAATCAAGGGGGGGGGGGCAATTAACTGAAGTCTGATGGATGCTTTTACCTGGAAATTACAAAGTCTACTCCCTACACCCCAGGGGTCTTTATACTTAGTTATTCTCATATTTAGATCTGGGACTGGCAAGCAGCAATGAGAAATTGAGCTTGTAGCATTTCTTCTTGATGCCCAAGAAGTGTCTAGGTTCTTGGAAACTGGTTTTTAGTTCCCACAGAGAACCTCAGGACACACTCAACCACCAAATACCCAATCATAAAAGCAGTCAAGGTCAGTAATGGGGATGAAATGGGGATGAATTTTTCCCCTCAGTAATTAATGTCTTATATATGGATATAAAAGAGGAAAATTCAGAAGGCAGACTTGGGCATGGATGAGAAAAGACAATAGGAAACAGAGTAAGAAAGAGAAAATGGGCTGGGTTTGGGGCTCAGTGGTAGAGTGAGTGCCTAGCCCATGTGAGGCCCTGGGTTTGATCCTCAGCATCACATAAAAAATAAATGAATAAAATAAAGCTATGAAAAAAAGTTACCTCATTAAAAAAAGAAAGAGAAAAGAGAGAGATGGAGTGACGAAAGAATAGAGAAGAATAGAGATATGGGGACAGAGACGGTGGAGATTAGGAGAGGAAAGAGAAAAAGGTAAGAAAAAAAGTGAAGCGAGAGACAAGAAGACAGGATGAGAGAAAGGAAAAAGAAAGAGAAAAGTGGATGAAGAGATAGAGACAGGCATTCGTTTGCCTTGGATCCCGGCCTAAAAAAAACACATCTGAACAGCACAGGATGTGAGCATTCCCAATTGTTTGAGTGTTTCAACCAGTTTGGGGAAATCCTTCTCGGCTCCCCAAACGTCTCTCTCCATGGTTATAGGAATGTTCTAATTGCCAACATTAGGGGTATTTTTCCTTGATGACAAAAATATCTCTCTGTTTAGGCAGAACAATCTGCAATACCTTAACAAACTACTGCAGGGTTTGGAAGTCTAGACGTTGAATGAGAGCATGGGTTTTTAAGGACAAATGTCTCTCCAAAGGGCCACTTATTTGGTTCCTAATGTCTGTCTGTGTAGGAATTGTTCAGATATGTCATGGCCTCTGAAACAGTAAGAGGGGACTTTAAGAGAAAGGCTCAGTGAAGAAGGATTATCAAAGAGGGGGTGGTGTAGGAGGCCAGGGTCAGGGCAAGCACAGAGGCTTTATCACATCTTGCAGAATACACAGCCACTCTCCAGCCTTGGCTTTGGGGTATGGTGGGCTGCTCGTGGATTGGCATTTTGCTGTCTGCTAAATTATCCAGCTCATTTGCAAATACAGTCTGGGGCACAGGCACTGCATCCAGGATCGCCTGAGTTTCCTGGGCAGTTTCCTTTCCTGGTAAATAGCACCTATATCTCATCCACCTGAATGATAATGATAATGATAATTCCAGCAAAGGTTAAGAAATCTGCTATGGGTCAAAATACCATGATCAAAGTATGACCATGAGCCAAGCCTATTTTATTCCAAAACCTGAGCCTTTTACCCAGTCTCATGGTGCCTTCAGTGAGGGTGGTAGAGGAGGAGGAAGAGGAGGAAGAAGAAGAGAAGAGAAAATGTTCACTCTTGGGATTCTAGACAAGGGAGGAGGTTTGAGCCTAACACTTGTAACATTTTCTTCTGATGAGTCTCAGTATGCATGTATGTAAGTTAGGATGAGGAAGCCTTCTATGAATAGAATGAAGCCTATAGAGTTACATTTTAAAAGTCAGATGTTCTGAAACCTGTCCCTGGTTTGTCTTCTGCTGAATGTTTGCTCTTGATTAGAAAGTCATTGGATGAAGAAGAGCCCCTTCTTAGCTCTCCTTTTCTTATTTAAAAAATGATCATCTTGAGATTGTTTTGGGAAATGGGGTGATTGACCTCTCCTATATGATTAGAGACAAATGCTCTTGCTGAGATAGTAACTTCATTTCCCTGTGTCTCAGGTAGGAAATCGCTTTGCTGAGTGATTGCATCCTTGTGCTGTGGAGTTGTGGAAGAACACTTGGACTTTGTTGTATATTGGCACCCAGATACCCAGAACAGTTGGATGTACCTGAAGTCATTCCAGCACTAATGTATAAGTCTACTGTTAGTGCTCTAATAAATTACCCCAAATGTCATGACTATAAAATGCACCACGAGTTTACCATCTTGCCGTTCTAAAGGTCAGAATCTGTTTCCCTGCCTGCTCCAGCTGCTAGCTTGCCTTCTTTGGCTTATAGCCCTTCCTCCAACTTCTAAACCAGTGGCTTAATATCTTCAAGTCTGTCTTTGACTATGACCCTCCAGCATCTGCTTCCACATTTAAGAATGTGTGGTTACGTTGAGCTAATGCAGATAATCTTCTTGTTTTAAAGTCATCTGATTAGAAACCCTATTTCCATCTGCAGCCTCAATTCCCCCTTGTCATGTACCTTAACATAGCCACAGATTTGGAAATAAGGATGTAGTCATCTTTGAGATCAATATACTGCTTACCACAACTGATTAGGAGATGCTGTGTTTTAAAATGATAGGAGCACCTAGGAGGGAGATGAAAACTTGGGATACAACTAAAATGTCACTTTGTTTGCCATCACAATTCATATAGGATAAGTTTTATCAAGTAATCAAAGGAAGAAAGGGGGACTAGATTGAGAAGTATTTAGAAAAATATATACCATAAAACTTGGAATATCATTTAAAATGATATCAAATTGTCGCCTAACTTACCCCGTGTTGACCATTAGACAATAAGGCATAAACAAAAATTTGCCTAAAATATTTTCCAGGAGCCAGTCTTGTCTTTGCTTTCCCAACAAGGCACTAGATCACAAAAACCATCACTAAGGAGAAGGGATCTAAATGACATTAAATGGAAATGTGTCTTTGGGAAAGTTGAAACAGAGAAGTCAACAGTGGGGAAAGCAATGATGATAGAGAAAATTGATGGGAAATGTAGAAGACACAGGTTTAAGAGGGCTGTTAAGCCATATTAAGGTTGTTACTCTCATCTTAAGATCGGTGGGAATCTTTGGATTTTTAAACTGGAGAAATCATGTTGAAATAAATATTTTTTAAAGGTCTCTTTAGTTGTAACAGAGAGAATGAATTGATAAAAATCAAGATTTTTTAGGGCCCCTTTACTTAATTGAAACAAAAATGTATGCATGTTTATGACAGCTTTTTTGAAGAAAACAATATTATGCTTTGCAGATTTTCATTTGAAAAAGCCACCTTTCACCTGAAATTTAGTAATGGATATAGAAATCAAATCTAATTGTTGCTGCGCCATGATTAATTATTTGGAATACTCCCACAGAAACTTCTTGGGGCAGTAACTTGGCAGCAATGTTTTTTCCACAATCTAATTCTCACTGGCACAGGTGCAAGAATTACATTTTGTCAGTGAACAAAAAATGCTGTCCCTCCTTAACATTTGTGATCAATAATCTTTCTAGTTCTCCATTACCAATATATAAGGAGAAATAGGTTGTTTCCCACTCTCTTGAAATAGTACATGAATCTTTTTTATATGACTGTTAAAAATGATTATTTCAGAGTTCCATTCCTAATATTCTCAACCATTCTCCATCTGGATCACGAGGAAGAGCAGCATGAGGACGGAGAACCAGAGCACTGTGTCAGAGTTCCTCCTCCTGGGGCTCCCCATCTGGCCAGAGCAGCGGAGCATGGTCTTCACCCTGTTCCTGGGCATGTACCTGACCACGGTGCTGGGGAACCTGCTCATCATCCTGCTCATCAGGCTGGACTCTCGCCTGCACACCCCCATGTACTTCTTCCTCAGCCACTTGGCCCTCACTGACATCTCTTTCTCATCTGTCACTGTCCCAAAGATGCTGGTGAACATGCAGACTAGTCACAAGTCTATCCCTTTTGCAGGGTGCATTTCCCAGATGTATTTTTTCATATTTTTTACTGACCTGGACAGCTTCCTTATTACATCAATGGCATATGACCGATATGTTGCCATATGTCACCCTCTCCACTATACCACCATCATGAGGGAGGAGCTGTGTACCTTGTTGGTGGCTGTATCCTGGATCCTGTCCTGTGCCAGCTCCCTGTCTCATACCCTTCTCCTGAGCCGGCTGTCTTTCTGTGCTGCTAACACCATCCCTCACTTCTTCTGTGACCTGGCTGCCCTGCTCAAGCTGGCCTGCTCAGACATCTTCCTCAATGAGTTGGTCATGTTCACAGTCGGGGTGGTGGTCATCACTCTGCCATTTGTATGTATCCTGGTATCGTATGGCTACATTGGAACCACTATCCTGAGGGTCCCTTCAACCAAGGGAATCCGCAAAGCTTTGTCCACATGTGGCTCTCATCTCTCTGTTGTGTGTCTGTATTACGGAGCCATATTTGGACAGTACCTTTTCCCAACTTTCAGCAGTTTCCTTGGCAAGGACATCATTGTGGCCATCATGTACACTGTGGTCACACCCATGTTGAACCCCTTTATCTACAGCCTAAGGAACAGGGATATGAAAGCTGCCCTTGGGAAACTCTTCAGTAGAGCAACATTTTTCTCACAGTGACACTTGACTTTTATCTATTTATTCATTTATTTTTCAGAACTCCATTTTGGTTGATGTGCTGTATTTGATTTCCATTTGAATGTGTTTCAAAACAGTTTATGTCTCTAAGCTCTAAGACAAATGACAGCATGTTGAATGTATCTTTTAAATATTCATTGACCAGAATTTCATTTTTTTATACAATGTTCTCCTTTACAACTAGATTTTTAAAATTGTTTTATTTTTTATTAACACAAAATAATTGTACATATTTGGGGGGTACATGTATACAATTGTGTACTGAACGAACAAGATTAATTAGCATTTCCATCTCCTTTTCATTATTGTTTTGTTTGGACACTTCAAGCACCTGTCCTCTAGTTCTTCAAAAATCATATAAGAAGTTATTTTGACCTATAGTCACACATCTTACTGTAAAACACTAGAATCTATCTAACTGGAATTCCTCCTATCTGGCTCTTTGGTAGCTTTTTTATAACTTTCCTCCACCTCTTCTCACATTTACCTTTTCTAACCTCTAGTAATTACTATTATACTTTCCAAATGGCTTTCTTATAAAAAGATTTGGATTAGTAAATATGAAATTAATTTTATTACTTATTTCTTCAATTTGGGAGTCATAAATAATACAATAATTCAGAGTTTGGTTATTCCTTATTTGAGATTTTTGGAAAGCCATATATTTTTGACCCACAGTCCCAGGCTTTAAAACAACCCAGAATCAAAGAATGTGCTGTATTATTTAACTCTTCTCTCCTGTGCAAACTAAGTGGGTTTTATTTTCATCTTTATGGGTCTACTTAAATCAAAGAACAAAAATAACTTGTCACTTAAATAAGAGGAAATATATCACTCTCTGCTCATAATGTAATATGTCACAGCTCTGAAGAGCGAGGTGTCTGGTGGTCAATACATCCCCAAGCCCCCCCCCCTTTGCCAACACTGTGTCATTGATTTTGTTTAGCTTCCAAACTCAATCATTAATGAAGAAGTGCTTCATTTTGGCCTCTTTAGAAATATAACCAAATAAGAGTGCAAACTCTCTGAAGGTACCATCATTTTCCTACAAATGCTACTGTGGATTCAGCCCTGACTATCCTTCCTGGATATCCTGCCTTCCTAAATAAAAAATGAAAGCAAAACCCATCAAACTTTAGGGTACATAAGGATCCTTGGAGAGCTTGCTAAGTATGGATCCCTATGATCTACGTCCATAAATTCTGATTCAGCAGTTTTGATGTAGGGCCCAAGAACTTGCATTTCTAACAAGCTCCCAGGCAGCCCTGATTCTGCAGAAATGTGAACTAGAATTTGAAAAGAACTGGTCTAAGAACTCAATCTGGGAAGTTGTCGGATGCACATTTCATGAATTCTGTTCCAGGTAGAGTGAAGCAAGAGACAGCTTCAATTATTTTAGTTATAGAGGAAACAGTGGTTCATGCTGATATTTTTCTATTTAATTCTGGATGCAGTAAAATTTTTAAGCTCTAATATAATAGATAATATTCTAATAAGAAATTTTAAAAATCTAATATTCTTTCCCGAGGCATGAGAATTCTTTTTCTCTTTCATACAGAAGATAGACATACCAGCTATCATATACCATATCTTGTATTATCACATCAAACTACAATTAAGTGAAAATAAATCCAAAGTTTTGAAAACATACATCATATGTTCAACATGTTTTTTTTTTCCATTAAATTTTGAGTAAATTCGATGTGACTTGTGACTTTATTAATATCACTCAATACTCTGATTTTCCCTCTATCATTAGAACATGTTCACATGTTCTAGAATAACTCTAAAAATCATATTTTCTTATTTTGCACTAACAATTATTTCACACATGATATAATAAAATATGCATTAAAACTTTAGATGATATTGAAAAAGCTGTAACCCCCACCACACACACACACACACACACACACACACACACACACACACACACACTGGTACTCTTGAGTTCTTGGCAGAACATTGACTAATTTTGTGCTCCATGATGTCATTTATTTCTAAAAGGTGTCATAGAACTTGACATGTTTCTGGACACAGGACATAAGATAGCATTTGTATAAAATCCAATCCACATTATTATCATTAGATACATCACATTTTTATATTGGTCTTTACATCACTTCTGTGGATTGTTTTTCTTGGGGAGTGATTTTGGTTTTGTTTGTTTTGGCACCTGCCTATGCAAAATACAATATTTTCCCAATTTCACTCATAAATATAAAATTAGATAGTATGTAACCAGCAGTCGGAATGACATTGAAGGCTACAGTGATACCTACAGAGTCTGCTTGGGATGTGAGGATGCAAAACAAAACATTTTGAAGGAGTTGGATGTTTGATATTCAATATAGAATGTGAAAAAATTGCAATAGCCCTTTCTGCCCTTCTCATAAAACTTCATTCCATAATCTTTGGTTTATGCTACAGGTGAGTGGAAACAATTTGACATGGTCACCTCCTTTTCCGGAGTTCAACTGGAACTTTTATTGTTCAGACATTTTCTCAGTTGGATTGTTTGTTGCCTTTTCAAACAATCAAGCCACGGATACTGAGGAGCCCAAACAGAGAAGCCCATTACAGTTGATGCTTTTAGAAATATTAAAGTAGCCTCGATTGGGCAACTGACACAATAGATGATTTCAAAACCTTATATAATCTTTAATAACATCGCATAGGGAATCTTTGTGCTAATTCCAGAAGAGACTGATTAAACCTTTTTACTTTAAGTATATTTTAAAAGTAATGATGCACATAGAAGTGGAAATATAAATGTAAGTAAAAGAATTATAGAAAAAGAATCATGAAATATTATAAAATGAATCCCACTTGCATAAATATAAATGTTTACTAATAAAAATCATTTTAAAAGGTTTAGAAATGAATAATGGATAGGCAAGGTATTTTAACTTTTGCCATCATTTTCATGTCCAGAGTATTTGGATTCACGTGATGAAGATGCATTACTTTTACAAACAGACAAGCAAAAGGTACTTTGCATTTGAGAGGTAAATTCCTCTGCACATCCCAAACTATGACCTAACAGGGGCAATCCGAATCTGGCAGGGAAGGAATTTCCCCATCTCTTGAGCTCAGGGCCTGCATCCTGATGCTCTTCATAAGGACAATGTTTCTTCAAAGTCTGTCCTCAGAAACACCTTCCTGAAAAATATCTGGCCCCAAATCTCATAAATGAGCATCTCTGGAGGTGGATCTGAGATCTGCATCTTTAACAAGGTCCCCAGTTGATTCTGCTGAATATTAAAGTTTAGAGACCACTGCCCTGGGGCATCTGTCCTAGAGGGAGTAAGAGGAAAACTGAGAAATTAATACATGTCTAATTCAAGTCTCTAATCACAACTTGGTGTCCTGTCCCATTGGGTCCTAACCCTAGTGGATAGAGTGAAGTCTTCACATCTCCATTTCTGAAGCTGGTAAAATGAGAGAAGCAAGCTCCAGGCTCATGACTTTTCTCTTTGATGTCCATGCCAAGGAAGTTATATGCAAAATCTGGGTCTACTGGAGAGCATCTGAGAAGGCAATACAAATCTCTGGGAGTAGGATAACCTGAGCATAAAGTTCAGAGCAGGACTGGGAATTCATCAGTAGCAGGTGTGTGTGCATGCACAGGTGCCCAGAGACTCCCTATGCTCTCTGTGCTGAAAGGATATAGCAACCATCACTAGTCAATAATGCTCACGCCTCTATCTCCAAGTCTTAGGGAGTGGAGGAATAGAGCCAAATGACTATATAAATTAGCAAGCACACCCCCAAATCCAGGCTGGAAGTATTGTGTCATCATTCATGTTTTAGGTATCAGGATGTGTGTTTCTTAACGTGTGTAGTGTAAATCAGTTCTCTTTAGTGTTTCTCTCCAAAGTCCCTGATCATTCTCTCCTATTTGTATAGCAGTCCTACTTTTATTGTATGTATGTTTGAAGTTATTTCTGGCTATAGAGCTTTGATTTCTTTTTTAGCAAAGCTCTCATAATGCAACTCCCTGTTAGAATCACCCTGATGATTTCTTACCTATGACCCTTAGTGTAGTTTCAGACCTTCATTAAAGACATCAAACCCTGCTCCTAGGAAAAATCTACTACAATGTATTGTGTATTTCAAAATAGCTAAAATAGAGGATTTTGAATATTTCCACATAGTTACTTTTTTCTCCTGGTTTTCATTAAAGACACTGAGTGTCTTCCCTAGATCTTTATACTCTTTATTTAATGGAAGCTATGTCACCTTATCTAGAACAGCTCCTATGAGAGAGTTGTTTTACAGACACCATTTTACTTAATTCTTACAATAAAATGCAGGGATTATTATTCCAGTTTTACAGAGGAAAAACTGAAGTTTCAGGAGATGCAACATTTGAATCCATTCTCTCTGGCTTAAAAACTTGGGCTTTGCCTTCTACAGCACACACGCTCACTATCAAGAAAACATCCATCATCAGCAAGCTGTTGTTAAGGTATTGAGAAGGTTGGGTGTGGAGTGAGAATCTCTACGTGGTCTTTACTTAGAACTAATACAGAACTATGACAACACCAAAGGCATGGATTAATTAGATCCAGGAGCTTTTATTAAAATCCTAAATCTCATAAACTAGATAGAATTACAGCTTTGGGAGGGAGTCATCATTTCATCATTTTATAGCATGAGAGAAACCAGAAGAGAATGGAGAAAGAGGGGGAAGTCCAGAATACTGGATATCTGAGTTATCGTTCTGTTAATATTCAGAATATTCTCAGGACTTAAGCTCAGTGTCTTACTTCTAACTTAAAGATGAGAAAAATAGGGTTTTGCTGCTTGCCCAGAACTCACAAATATGAAGTGATGCTGCCTGAATTTGGAGCTATTCCTAATTGTAATGCTTTTCTCAACAGACCATGCAACCCTCAGGCAGGAAGCTCTTATCTTAAAGTCACAGTTCCAAGGACAGCCAGAATATTTAAGCAATCGGGGACAGATTGAGAACTGGGCCAGGTGTTATTATATTCAGAACTGTCACATCTGATATGTTAGTTGTTTTCAGTAAGTTTAAAAAGGAGATGGTACATCCATATGGGATAGGAGCATGTTCAAATCACCAACTTAGAAAAGCAAAGAATTTTTTTGCCTACCATTAACCTATATAAAACTTCTAAATTTTCCTTTAGTTAAGAACTAGTATAATATAACTGTAATATCTTCTTGTTGGCTTTCTGTCTATAGGCATCTCTAGTAGGCATTTAACTGATTTGGGGCTTAAAGGGAACTTTTTCCCCACTTGTCTTACAGGATTGAATAACTTAGTTTTTAGAGTATTTTAATGGGTAGATAGTAGTTGATGAGGAAGACTGCAAATACATTTTTAAGACACTTGACACTGATGAGTTGGGGGTCCTGGATATAACTAGATCTTGAACAGGGCCTATTAGCAAGTTCTAAAGATCAAGATTCTGGGAGCCCAGTGAGGAAGCTAAAAAAGGGAAAAGGATACATGAGTGGCCCTTTTATTTATCCTCAGTTGAGGAAAACTCTATTATGAATTGTGTTTTCATGGTGCCTTGATAACTCATTGACTCAGAAGGTTATTAGAAAATTATCTAAAAGATCCTGACAAATTTATTACTTATAATAAATATGGAACTGCCAATAATGTTTTCTCTTTTTATAGCAGTGACCTTTTAACCAATAGATATTTTTTTCTCATCAATTTTATATATATTGGGAACTTTGGTGCTTAATTTTTGGCCCAGTTTTCTTTAGGCATATGCTATTGAAACTTCTGCCCCCGACTTTGATTATTGATGGATTTTGAAGTCATATTTCAGAAGTTGATACATCGCAACTTGAATACATGAGAAAGGCTAATGATTATCTGTTAAAGTATAGAAACAGAATAGATATTGGGACCATTTTAACCTAATATTCCTCTCCTAGGACCATGGAGGTTTCTCTTCACTGACTTAGACACGGCTGCAAATTATGCTTTGGTCAAAGTTGCCTCTTCCCTGGATGGTGAGTAATGCCATATCAAACTCTCTTCTCTGTTGACAAAGTCTATTTTAGAAGATTTTTTAATAGGGACATGGCAATGAAGATGGACACTGGTATACAGTATTCATCATTTGAATGGCTCTCGTTTTATCTGCCTGCTCGAAGTCACACTTTGTTTTTACTTTCTTCAAGGGCCCTCCCGTCCCAGTAGAGAAGAGCAGCATGAGGATGGAGAACCAGAGCAGTGTGTCCAAGTTCCTCCTCCTGGGGCTCCCCGTCCAGCCAGAGCAGCAAGGCATGTACTACGCCCTGTTCCTGGGCATGTACCTGACCACGGTGCTGGGGAACCTGCTCATCATCCTGCTCATCAGGCTGGACTCTCGCCTGCACACCCCCATGTACTTCTTTCTCAGCCACTTGGCCCTCACCGACATCTCTTTCTCATCTGTCACTGTCCCAAAGATGCTAATAAGCATGCAAACTCAGGATCAGTCCATCCCTTATGCAGGATGTATAGCACAGATGTATTTTTTCATATTTTTCACTGATCTGGACAATTTCCTTCTCACTTCAATGGCATATGATAGGTACGTGGCCATCTGTCACCCCCTGCACTATGCTATCATCATGAGAAAGGAGCTATGTACCTTGCTAGTAGCGGTGTCTTGGATCCTGTCCTGTGCCAGCGCCCTGTCTCACACCCTCCTCCTGCCCAGGCTGTCTTTTTGTGATGGCGACACCATCCCCCATTTCTTCTGTGACCTTGCTGCCTTACTCAAACTCTCATGCTCAGACACCTCCCTCAATGAACTGGTCATTTTCACCCTAGGAGTGGCAGTCGTCACTCTACCTCTGATGTGCATCCTGATCTCTTATGGCCGCATTGGGGCCACCATTCTCAAAGTTCCATCTAGCAAAGGGATCTTCAAAGCCTTGTCCACCTGTGGCTCCCACCTCTCTGTGGTGTCTCTATATTATGGCACAATTATCGGAGTTTATTTCTTCCCCTCTTCTGGCACCTACAGTAACAAGGACATAGTTGCTTCTATTATGTACACAGTGGTCACCCCACTGTTGAATCCCTTCATTTATAGCCTTAGGAACAGAGACATGAAGAGAGCTGTGGAGAAACTCTTAAATAAGGCAACAGCCTTGTCTCAATGACATTGCTTATATATTCATGTATTTCTAAATGCTAGATTCCTAATCTTGGGCTCAGCATAAAATAAGTGCTCAATAAATATTTAGTTACTTGAATTGTATTTTGTTATCTTTATTCTCTCGCAACAATTTAGTATCTACTGTGAATTCTGAGTTAATATTATTGGTGATTTCTCTTGCCCACTAGAAATTATTTAGTAGTACTTAAATTTCTTCTCTTATATCCTGGGTATATTCTTATGAATGGTTGGGTGATGTTGAATAAAGATATCCCTTGGCATAGAATTTCTAAATTATGTCTTTTCCTTCCTCCATCTTCCTTTCAGTGTTCTTAAACTGGTGGTGGTGGTAATGATTGTTGTGGATCAGGAGAAGAAACTATATAGTACCCTTTATGGTACCAAGAAACCCTCTACCTATGGATCAGCTGCTACATTCAGGGACACAAGTCCTTGAACACTGACCACCCTTTTAGACTATAGTAACCTTCATTCAACAATTTGCTTTCAAAGTAGCTGTCTGAATCTTCTTGACTGCATGTGGGAATTTTAATGAAGAATTGGCTCAATCCAGATAGGTGATGAGAAAGACAGAGCATCCATTGTCTGGAGCCTTCTGTCACCCCACTGAACTTGGTCCCTTTCTCATTCATTCTCTTCATTATCTAGCTCCCTGAAAGTCATTTATACTCAATTTAGTGACTCTAGGTTTGTACTCTATAGCTGAGTAACCATATATCTTTGTCTTCTATATCGTATCTTCTTCAGCATCCAGTGAAGGGCCCCATAGGTCTCTATCTTGGGGCCTATAATTGAGGATAAACAGAATTACCAGTGCTTCTGAGACTCAGCACCATGTAGCTGCAAGCAAGGAAAAATAGATCTCAATCGCAAGCCTTATGTACCAGAGTGGGGGCTGTGTGGCCTCAGGCCATTCACCTAACCCATCTGACCTTCAATTGCTTCTCTAGTATAGGTGGAAAAATTATAAAATACCTAACACATTTTTATTTTAAATGAATTCAATAGTAAATCTGGCTTAACACTACAACTAAGAAAAATGAATGTTAATTTTTCCTACCTAACAGAGATGAGTTTGGGAGCAGAACTTATACAGATATTGCTGAATTGTAATTATAGGCAACATGACATGTTTGCTACATTTCCAATTCAAAGGCAATCAGTTTTCCTGGGAGACAGCAATACATCTGCTGTGGCTTGAGCTAGAGCTGGATGACTAACAGAGTGTGAGGGAGTTGATGGGTGTGTAGATGAGGAAAGACAGATTGGAAGAATACCATACTGTCCATGTGTCCAGAGTTAAAACCTGAGCAGGGATGCAACCTTTCTTGCAGGTCTACAGGAAGCCTGCCTTAGCTAGCCTGGACACAATCGTGAACCTGCTGCAGACACCTCCCCATGTTGGTGGTGTCGTCTGCAGGACTGAGTACTCACTCAGTTCCCCAGCCTACTCCAGCTCTGTCCCTCAAATCCCTGAAGTTCTGCCTAGTTCTGACAGGACCACTTTCCAAAGAGGTCAACACCTATCATTCATACTCATGGGCTGGTGACACTCTTGAGTGACTTCCTCTAAAGAAATAGCCAGCCCACCTGCCTATTGGAAAGGGTTTATGACCACCTTCCCTGCTAGTCCACCTGTACCCTAGATTGGTTTTCTTATTTGTGGACAGACCAAACCACACTGGCAAGTGTCATACTGATGTGGATAGAATTTCTGGAAATCACATTGGAAGTATACAATATACCTGGCACTTTTCTCTTCAGCCATGCCAGGGCCAAGTTTCATGACCTTCCCTAATGAAGCATCTCACTGGGTTTAGAACAAAGTTTGCGGCATTTTTGAAAATCATGAATCTATAATGTGGTCACAGGTTTGCAAATACAACTGGAAGTTGTTCAGATTGATATTTCAAAGGACTAGTTTATATCTTTCTCAAGAGTTAACATTTATTCTTTCAAAGTGTGATAAAAGAGCACACTTTCTCAGAGGAGAGGAATCATAACATCCTAGAAGCAAAAGCATTTCAGCTTCGCTATAGTGTGTGTGTGTGTGTGTGCGTGCGTGTATGTGTGATTTCAACTCTGACATGAAGATTAAAGAGTAAGCAAAAAGTATCCTATTTTGCCATATGTGAAAAGTAGAAGAGGATCTAATAAAGAATTAAATTCACTTTTTGATAAAATATAAAAATCCACGAATTTCGTATTGATTATTATCTATGAATCTAAGATGATTTTTCATGCTTTTATTCATTCATTATGGTTATACATAAGAGTGGGGTTCACTTTGACACATTCATATTCCTCCCTCCCCTGATTTCTTTCCACTACTATTGAGGGAAAAGCTATAAATTAAATCAAGAGCAATCTCATAAATCCATAAGATTAAATTTATTCATCACTAAGCATAAAAAGTTAGAGTTAATATCAGAAAAATAGTGAGACTTTCCTTCCATTCAGTAGCCATTTAGCAAATTATCTGCTCCATGCTAGGCAGTGCACCTCTCCCTGCAGGAAAAAGATGTGACCTCCAACTAAAGAAGCTCACATTCTAGTAGTGTAGAGACAGGTGGACTAAAAAATATGTAAGAGTACAAAATGCTTTAATATAATCATACAATGAATAATTGAGATTATTATGCCTGATTACTGTATATTAGCACTATATTAAAATTTTACTATATTATCTCTTTTAATCCTTAGAATAACCCTATAAAGCACACATTGTTATCATCTGTATTTTACAGTTGAGAAAATTGGTAAAGACAATGACACAATTATATGATAGTCACATAAGGAAAGATATATTTAATGCTTACTGGATATTAGCAAAGATAGTTACCAGAGAAATAATTCTTCAATTGAAAGTTGAAGGATGCTAAAGATTGATTCATAAAGGGCAAATTAAAGTCTAGACAGAGGGGACAGAGTGACCCAGAATATTAAAATAGCACAATAACTTCAGGGAAATGTTTAGGGGAAAAAAAGGTGTTCCCATGCATATGTGTGTGTGTCAAGGGAACATTAAAAGCTAAATCTAGACAAGCAGTTAAGGACTACTTTGTGAATGGGTTAGGATGCCCTCTTAGGAATTTAGATACTACCTGCAAGTGATAAGAGTATCATTGACTGGGAATAGGGTGGAGTAGGGAAAACTGTGGAATGTTGTATTTGTACTGGAAAAAGATTCCTGAAGTAACCGATGTGTAAGATGGTTTGACAATGGCTTGGGGAGCCTAGAGACAGGGATCTCAATTGGAAAGTTATTGAACATCCAGGTAAAAGGTGAAGTATGCCTGAATGATGATCATGGCTTGAGGATAGAGAAGAGATTATCTTGAAGATATGCTAAACAGGTCTTGGTATGTGATGGGAAGCAGGTGATAGAACTAAAAATTGGTTTTGGTTTCTGGCTCTGTGAATGATATTTAAGAATAAAGTGAAAGGCTAGACACTTTGGATAATTTTTTTGAGACTGTGTCCTGCTATGGTCTTGAACTCATGAACTCAAGCAATCCTCCAGACTCTGTGTTCCAAGTAGCTGAGACTAAAGGGATGCACCAGCAAATCTGGTGCACCTTGAATAATTTTGATTACATTCAGCAATCTTAAAGAAGTGAAGGAACAGATTTCAAACCATATGTTGTTGTTGTTTTTTTCAAAACAGCTTGTAAGCAAGAGGAAACCAAATACCCTATGTATTCAAGAGGCAACAGGAAGCTCTCCATCATCCACCTCTCATCCCAGCTAAAGTCACATCCTGCTCACATTACACTACCAAAGTGCAAAGATTTATAACTCATCTATACTTCAGTGTGAATTATTTAAATGCTAACAACACATTCCCATTGCTTGAAACAGGTGATCATAAAGAAATAGAAGTTTGAGTTTAGGGATCAGAAGTGAGTGTAATGGGATGTATTCAAGGGAGGACCTTTGAATACAGTTGAGTGGAATCTAAGAACACTGGACTGTGGAACAGTGATAGGCAATAGTATCTGTTGGTGGGCCTTTATATGCTCTGAGCTGAACTAACTCCTCACTGCCACACAATTATTTTGGTATAACCAAACTGGACACCCAGTCTCATATCTCTCAGTTTCCCTGGGACTTGAGGGAAAGAATCTAAATCCACCCCAACATGAAGTTCAGACATGTACTGCACTATGAATGGACTGAGAATCCCTGGGGATCAGAATGAAGAAACAGAGGGCCACCTAGAGAAACCACCAGGAGCAAAGAAGATGCAGCTGACTGAGGCAGTCTGAGCAGCAGGTGCAGGATAGCCGAGGGGACCTGGGCTGCAGGGAGGGTGTGACGCTGTATCTGATACTCGCACATCTCGGTCTGCCTCAAGTTCACTAGTCATGTTATCAGGAGCCTTAGAAGTCTGCCAGCGAACCCACTCCTGAAAAAAATACGATCATAAGAAGTGAGAAGTATTTTATTGCTATTCCAAAAGACAGAAGAAAGCTGGGCATTGGTGTCTCAGAGACTGTCAGTGGCCTGTGGTCAGCAGAGAGAAAGATGTCAACAGAATGGAAGGAGATAAGGGCAGAAGGACTCCAGGGCTTCTGGTTATATGAGAATGGCCTCCTCAACCCGTTCACAGACCCCTATGATGAATGGAATCTTAGGGGCTAAGATGGAGCACGCTGCTCTAAGTGATTCACAATTGTAGTCAACTGCTGCTGAAGCTGGGGTGGTTTGATTCTGTGAAGGATTTCAGTAATTATAAAATTGACAAAGTATAGGGATCATGAAACATTCTAAGAGGGGTTGGGTCTGAGAAAAAAACTTCTGCAGGGAGGAATGTTTAGGTGGATAGTGGATACTTGGTCACACCAGAAATAAGGGATCAAAACTATATAAGACTCATTTTTTTTAGTGTTTTAAATATTTCTTAGGTTCTTGGAGACAAAAGAAACCTCACATGCCTGTGAACATCATTTTTTTTTCTTTCTTTACAACAATTTAAGCCTC